TATTATTTATATTTATTGTATGGAGTATCACTTATATTTTATTAATTTGAAAATACGTATTTTTAGATATATTTTTTAAGTTTACAATACGTAATAAAGTGCATTTTATTACATATAAAACGCAATTAATCGACGATTAATCCTTATCCAATTAATCATCATCGTCTATATTACGTAATTTCTCACAGTGCATTCGTTATAATGCAAAATATTGCAAGTCATATCTTTTTTAATCATTTGATTGCTTAATTTCAGGATTTTACACATAAAATATAATAATATCTACATATATATACACAATGTAAATTATCTAAACTATGTTTTACATGCCATCTATGTAAACAATCTGTGAATCACTGAATATTATATATATATATTTTTATCGTTGCACTGGATTGCATAAAGTTTCTATCTTGTCTATATATTTTTATTTATTAATATTATATAAAATAAGATATATTAATAATTATAAAATTTATACTTCTTAATTCTGTATTATTAGCTTATAATAATTTCCGTATAATAAAGGATCACGTCACAATAGAGTCACAACAGGAAGAAAATATGATGTCACTGTGAAGTTGTCACAACAAAATAACACATGTTACAAAGGCATTCGCACATCATCATGGCATTGCTGTGACATCACATTCGTAACAAAGCGGACATTCGCATGCCATGACGATTGTTTTGATGTATCTGTGACGTTTTTTACTATGGGGGTTCACATTGTTTGTATTGTCTACATGACAAAGATTCATATAAATTTAACGTAAACATTACATAAATATTCCACCGTAAACATAATCTTGAAATATATTTGAAATATACTCACCACTCTATTTAATTTTCATGTTTTGCTCTATTCACGTTTATTACGCGAAGAAAGTGTTCGTAGGCACCGAGACGAGTAATCACCCATACAGCACAAAGTTGACTATTAGTCGACTATCAGTCGGTAGAAGAAATCTAAAATCGATTTTGAAGTCATATTTGAATGTCGACTTTTAATCGACAAATGTTTTGACTATAATCGACTATCAGCCAATGTAATCAATTCAAATTCAACTTTATGATTACGCGATTATGGTTACGGTCTGCTTGATGCTATGAATGCTTCGAAGTATTTTTTTGATTGATCAGTTAGTAAAATTCTTTCTTCTGATTTTGTCAATCAAAAGTTTCGAAGCATTTGTAACGTCAAGTGGACCGTATCCAATAAGTCGACAATTTTCATCATAATATTTTTAAGTTATGACTAGGGATCCACTTTATGCTGCAAATGCTTTCTTTACTTAGCCAATTCATAAAATTCTTTTTTCTGGTCAAGTATTTGCAGCATTAAGTAGATTGCCCTAGATGATATTTAGTCAATATTGTGTGCTTTAAGTAGACAATTGTATTTATTACAGCTTTTAAGTTATGGCTAAGTTGATTTTAGTCAATATTGTAGCATTTATAAATCATCTTTTAGCCAATTTGGCGCAATGTAAATAAAACTTAACAAAGACTTGGTGAATGTAATAATTTTATTATTTTTTAAATGTGTTATATGTAAAGAATATAACGCAATTAAAGTATAATACAATTAAATCGATCAAATTTTTAATAAGTTTCTATTATGTGTTAATATCTTTTCGTTTTGCAAAAAAAAAGCCATTTTTAAGTCATTTTTTAAGTATTTTGTATCATCCGGAATAATATGTAGCGCATCTGGATTATTATTAATAATAAATAGAAAATTGATTATATAAATTGAAACTTAAAAAGACTTAGAAATTTTTAAGATTTTCGAAAATAGTCGACATTCAAAATCGACAAAAAATCATCACAGAATAATCGACTAAACGTCGACTTTAAGTTTACTAAAAAAAGTCGACTATTATAGCCGTCAAACTGTCATGTGTTATGTGGGCAGCTGCATTATCACAATGCCCGTTCGAATCATTGAGACTTCGCATGTCGGCCCCTCACTCTTCCGTTTCCCGACCCCTCATCCGTAAATTAAATATTTCGGTCGAGTCATAATTGAATCCAGGTCAACGGGGCTATTTCCCGACCGCATTCTCTCTACCCGAAGTACGAATCAAAGCGAACCTAGCAACACGCGCCGATCTTAACTCCATGCGCGCGCTTATATATTAAATATATTTGGTTGCCGCTTGGTAACCGTCTGAAATCCTAACGTCGGTAACGGAGCTGCCTGTAACTACATCAAGCATTCTCGCATTTGCCATGTACGCGCGCGCGCGCGCGTACTTTACTATCTCCCTTATTTTCAGAGTGTGAATTGCGCCTCTCTCACGTCGTTGCACACAAAGTGCACGTCGCGGTCGTCGCTGTCGCGGCCGTCGTCGTCGTCCTACTCCCTCAAAAATAACGATCCAATAGGAAGCGTGTAAACAATGGCTGCAAGCGCGCTGGTTGGCCGCGCTGTCGTCAAGTCGGCCGCCGCTGGCCAATCAACTGTACGGCCCGCGACAGCGCCGACGGAAAGCGGCGGCGCACCGTCCAGTGGCAGTACCCCTCCGTCCCCCTATCCGATTGCACGTCGAGCATTCAGTAGACTCGGCCATTTCTCTCGCGAAACGTAGCGACTCGCTGAACCGCGCGACGGTTTTTTTTTTCGCGACTGCACCGTGCGGGTATACTCCCGGAAGTTTTGCAAAATAACGCGACGCAAAAGGATGATACACTCCGGGCGCACCAGGCTCGAGGTAAGTCAATCGTACGGATGCAACATCGGCCCAACGCGGATCCTGTGAAACGCGGCCGCGGAAACGCGCGTCGAAGTGCTGCCACACACAGTCCGGGGGGGTCGTGCGTGTTCAATGTTGTCATTGCCGAGGCGAACAGCTGATTCGCTCCCCTGGCCTCCGCGAAGCGCGGCGGCCACCACGGGCATCCTCGTCGCCGCCGTTTTGCGTCCTCATCGTGACCAAGACGACGATTATGACCTACGACAAGGACAACGACAGTGTGAAGGCGTCATGCGCCAGGGCATTCTCTGGTTATTGTGGCTGGATGGCTGGCTGGCAACACTCTGTCATTCTGCGAGACCTTTTTCATATGTGTGACGTATATATTCTCATCGACCAACCAAGGCAATCGTGGAAAAAGCGAGCTTAGCTAGCTGTAGTCAACCAATCAACCAGCCATCCAGAGCTCCGTTCTTTGTCCTGTCTTTCCTCTTTCCTTCCATCCTTCCTTTCTTTCTTTCTTTCTTTCTTTCTTTCTTTCTTTCTTTCTTTTTTTCTTTCTTTTTTTCTTTCTGTCTATCTTCGCTTCTCTCTTTTTCGTACTCCGCCTCTCATTCTCTCTTTCTCTCTCTCTCCCCTCCCCCTTCCCTCTTTCTCGCTCTCGCGGTCGCCAGCGGTGGCTACGTCGCCAGCGGTGCGTTCTCGTTGTTAAATGCACGCCTCCCCCTCCCCCGCGCCCTGGCTACTATCCTCTTTGTTCTTCGCTCCGGCGGCGTCCGAGCAGCGACGACAACGACGACGACGACGACGACGACGCAAAAATCTCTCCGCGCTCCCTGGCGCACAGAGGCGAACCCTGACGATGAAGATGACGACAATGACGTTTGAGCGCGCCAGTGAAATGTCAATGAGCTCGTTGTTGCTCGACGACGCTGCGAATGCAACGTTCTCGTTGGATAGACGGTATTCCGCAACGTTATTCCGTTTTGCGCGCGCGTTTGCGTCTTTTTTCTTTATCTCTCTCAGCGTCGCGACGATGTCGTCGTCATCGTCGTCGCCGATGGTATAGCTGTGGAGACGCGCGCGCGTATCGCGAACGCATAAACAAGCGGACGGGCACGCGCGTGACCGTGCTTTTGACGAGAACGTGTATCTGCAAGCGTGATAAGTAAGAAGCTGTAAATGAACCATGTTTCCGTAGCATTTCACCTCGCTGTCTTCCAACAGACATCTAAGTAATTCATGGGTGTATGTGCTTGTGTGTGTGTGTGTGTGTGTGTGTGTGTGTGTGTGTGTGTGTGTGTGTGTGTGTGTGTGTGTGTGTGTG